GTACTAATCAAGGGCAGCGAGTATTGAGTGGGAGCACCCACTGCCCATCAGTTATCCTTGCCTTAGGAAGTAGACAGCCACAATCCTCGCGAGCAGCAACATCATTCATCAAAAGTTTGTGACATGAAGAGGAATTCTGTAGTATTTTGAGTCCTGGCAATTTCAAAGAATATCCTTAAAGTTATCGTGGAGCACGCAGTCCAACAAAGGTTAACATAGGAAGGTCATTGTGCAGAAGCATGGAGTCTTACTGTGCATTTACTATTGTCTACAGAATATATAATATATACAGTATGTACAAGTTCAATAAGCAGATCACAATATAAATTCAGCCTGTGGATTTTAATATTAAAGTCATATTTAGACTTATATAATTTTATAAAACAGCTTATCAAAATTTAGTTGGAAATGTATGATGGAAGTTAAGACCCAGGTCTGAAATGAAACACCACTGTCATGCCACGACTATACATTGTGACTTCAACCAAACCAGTAATACGTTTTAGAATGACAACTCACCAGGAACAAGATTAAGACACCACTGATGCCTATTTAATTAAAGAAAAGGCAGAAATCCCTCTCACTCTGAGCTAAATTAGACGGCAGAGTATGTTCACTGAACAACAACCTGAAAACGTCTGCTCCCAGTGATTCACTATCGGGATTTCATTATCAATTTTAAAGCCCAGTTCAAAATTAAATATCACTTGACCTTCACAGTGAGTCTGAACAATGGCTTTATTTGGTTTTGTGAGAAACAAGCAGTGTAAGTAAATGTTCAAATACTTTTTCATTTCTTGCACTTGACAGATTTTGCCTGAAAAATATGCCACACAAATAAAAACATGCAACACTCATCCTTTGTGTGTCCAGATGATAAATTATTAGTGCAACATATGACAAAGTATCTTGAAGGATTGGTTAAACCTCTTTAAAAGTTCTGAGTTCATTTTGACTCATTCCCACTAGTGTAAAATAACTAGATATCTAGACAAACACATATAGCATCAATACACATTTATTTAATGAAATACATAAAGTAAAACGTGTAAATATTTGTAACTCAGCAGTGCATTATGAGAAAAACAGTTTGGCAAGTCATTATTGTCAAAAGAATTCCTGTGTAGATACAATATTTTTTGTTCCATTCTATAAATCCTCTGTTTAGGCTCAGATATTTGAAGCCTCAGCACTTAGTTTGGCCTTGCACTGTGACAGCTACAGTACAGTTTTGAAGTGTTGTTGAATGCCATTGATTTTAAATGTAGACATTCAGCTTTTAAAGAGCACTTTCACAAAACACAGGAGGACTGATGAACACACTAGGGTAACTGGCAATGCCGACCAAATGCTATCACGCTTTTTCACTCTGCACTTCTGCCTATATTGCTGCTTATACATGCTACATAATGTATACACTGGGGGCGGAGTTTTGTACTTAATGGCCTACTGAGGAAACACCACCCTGTGAAATGAGATTATGAGATGTGACTGGAAGAGCTGGGGAAAAATACTATGTAGACTTTAGTTAAGACTTTTTTCTCACCAACATGTTTGCAGCTTTAAGATTTGGGGGCCTGTAATGACTGCTCATCAGTGTCACTAATCACACAGCATCACACACATTTGACATATTATGGCCTCATACAATTATAGCAAACTCGTCTCAAAACAGTTGAACAAATATAATTATTACCTCAGGCACCAGGTTCTTTTATATGGTGAACCAACCGAATTTTAACGTAATTATGACAATTTAATTATTCATAAATTAATAATTCAATTACCAATCAAATTATCAGCCTTAAGCCGATTGAGTGAGTCCTAAATCAGTGACTTCATCATTTTTACAACATGAAGGGGAGAAAGCAGAACTTGATTATATAGGATTTATTAATTAAATACACAGTAAACAAAATGAATACTGCTGCAGTTCAAATGGCAAGTAATGATATAACAGAACAGAGAATGAAAATGGTTGATTGAATATTGAACAGTTTTGATTAATTTGACCTGAAAAATTTAGCCCAAGGGTTATGGTGAGAAAGAAGTACCGTTTCAGAGCAATGAGGGGGGAGTTATTAGCTATAACAAGGGGAATTTTGAATGATTAGATAATGAGATTGTGCATGAATCAAAGCCTAACCAACACCAGCTCAGTTTTTAGAAGAAGGGTGGATCTTGCCTGTTTTGGAATCAGTGGACTGGAGGAGTATGGATGGGACTCTGACATTCAGTTCTGGTTCAGGTCAGGTGGTGTTCCTGTGCTTTATGGAATGGCCCAGTTAAAGCAGTGGGATTTGGCTATGCACACATTTAATATTGGCATTGTTCTTTTGGAATCAATATTACCAAGTTCCTCTTT